ATGGCATGAAAAACAAAATAAAAAGTTTTATAGGTTAGAGAAAACCATCTGGTTCAAGGGCAATGATCTAGTTTACTGGAATCTTTTTTAAAAGAAGTAACTGGGACAGTCTCCTAATAAATGGAGATTAATTATGCTCTTTAAAAACCCTAAAGGAGGGGAAAGGATTTGGAAGCAAGGTGATAATATAAAACTAAGGATCATATCGGTTTTTCCTAGGATCAAGAAAGCAAGACTTGAGATAGTAAAAAAAATACCAAGCTCTGTGCATTTAATCTTTCTGCATCCCAAGATTCAATTAAACTAATCTATATTTAAATGCTTTGCTTATTATTTCCATGACTGTATGAATTCAGATACCTTGTTATGCTTTGCACTGAAAACTGAATTATGAAAGTTACTCTTAGATCATGTGTTGGGCTTGTTGAAATACAGCTGGATGGACCCAACTGCTAGAGTTTGGCTCAGTATTTCTGGGATGGGAACCAAGAATTTGCATTTTTAACAAGTTCCCAAGTGATGCTGATGTAGCTAGTCTGGGGACCACACTCAGAGAACATCTATCTTAGATGAGTTCTCTCTAGCTGTGAAATACACTGCACACTAAGTGTCCAATCTTGAAAGACTGAATGAACTTGATTGTTAAATGAGAATTTATGGCAGTTCATCTGTCACATAAAGAGCTAAGTCTGTTTCAGAATAATACTTTGCATCATATTGCTAGGGAGAAATAGGGCAGCCTTTTTTATCCAAAGAAAACCTTAAACCACATACCCCTCACCAAAACTTCTTTCAGGTTGGACAGTGTTTCAAACCCAGATTTTCTAGGACTGTTACTTTCTAAGCTACTTGCTCCCTTTACTCCTCAGTTATCTAAAAATCTACATGACAATCCACGCATTCTGCCTCCTGGTAACTTCCTGACATCCGAATGCTCACTCAGCTGGCCCCATTCACTCAGAATTCTTACTAGTTTAAGGCAGTTAAAGGTTATTTGCCCTAAGTTATAAGTTATGGCAGCAGAGAAATATTGCCAGGCTGCTTCTATTATTGAGGCAATAGCTTTTATGTTCCTGAAAGTTGATAAGGCTTAATGTTTTGCTATCTTGATGATGTAAGGTGTAGTAAGGAGTTAGACAATTAAGTATTAGGGTTCAAATAAGTTTAGAAGATGCAGAAAAGGATGAGGTGGGTAGCAAGGAGATTCTACCTCACTTCATTAAAAATTAACTTCCATTTTTAGACCAGGAAGCAATTTGTTCAGATATTGCTGACCCTGAGTGGCAGGCTTCCTTTCAGGGTAGAAGAAAGATTTGGGAAGAGGAATAGCCATGGCAACCTGCCCAGCTTTGTGGGTAATGATAGTATGGGGCCTCATGCACTTATTTCTTGCCTAGTCACTCAGTTTAGCGCGGATGGTCCCTCCCTTCCCACTTCCTACTCCTATAATGCTGACTTCAGGGGCAAGGACAGCCCCCTCTCTGTAGGGCGTCTGAAAGTGGGGTGGGGAAGGCTTCAATGAGACCAGAGGAGGTCAGCTTGACTAAACCCAACTGCAGGCTTCCAGGCAGAGAACACAGAGTAACTCCCTGTCTGTTCTAGTGGAGCACAGCAAACACGCTGGCTTTGTTAATATTAAGTGCTTGAATGATTAATGTTTTTCAGGTAGAAAAGCGATGTCCCATTTTGATAAATAAATTCTCCATTCTACCTTCAGTTCTCACAGAGACACAGAATTCAGTCGTCCAGGGGGTAAAACCAAAACAAAACAGTAATTTCTAAGTCAGACAGAATAGAGTATTTTAAGCATGTTAGATTAACAGCCTTCCCAACAAACCTGGGGGTAGGCACAATGATTTTCTTCAGCTAAGAAAACTTAAGTCCAGAGAGGTAATGTAATTTGCCCAAGGTCAGGCAAGCAGCAGTGGTGTAGCTGGGGTTTGAACGGAGGCAATGGGGCTCCAGAACCCACGCCCTCAACCACTACCTGGTTGGGTGAGGTGAGCAGAGGAAATTGGAAGGAGCTAGTCCTTTGTGCCCACACTCAGCATCATTTGTTGCCCTCATCAGAAATTAGCATGATTTTGGAAGGAGTCTTGATGGTTTGTTTTCTTTCCTTCTGATTTGCACAATTAACCCAGGCAGGATACCTTACCATGAGCTAGATTTCCCTTCCACACACCTATTGGATGCCACAGCTTTTTCATCTTAATGTGCTTCTGGCCTTCCTCTGTGCAATTCAGTGGCACAGCTTCAACTTCAGAATTACACAGCAGCGCCAGAGAGTTTTCAAATACCACATCCTGTTACTCAGGTGCTTCATGTTGCCAGTCTAGTTCTCATTCTGGTTCTGTGTGGAGGGCAGAACAACCTTATGTGTTGGGTCAGTTCCTGAAACCTCCCTACCCCATCCGCGTTCAAGCCTTTCCGCCTAGGGAGAGCTCAGTCCGCAGCAGCCTTCTCAAGTATTTCAGCATCTTAGCTATGTCTTTAAGAAAAGCATTTATTAAATCCTCAAGTCAGGAGAGACCGGGAAGGAGACACACATGCAGCCTTCACAACTATCCAGGTAAAAAATATTGTGGCTAGCAAGCTGGGGCTTACAGACCTACAAGGGCAGAATTAGAAACGAAGCAGCTGTTCATACTCGCTGGACCACCAAGAGCCCACATTTCCACAAAGCCACCTGCCGGCCAGAATCCTCTTTAATCTTCAGGTAAGTGAAGCCCAGCTGAGCAGGCCAATAAATAGCACCCCTAAACAGCTAGCTGGTCAGCAACTTCCAGAGGCCCCTGTACCACCTTCATGCCAACAAGTGTCTTAAAAGCAATTCCCTTCAACCCAAACAAGGTGGCTGAAACCCATTCAGCCTTTTGAGCAAGGCAACAAATAAGCTTCATGCATAAGAATATAGACTTTTAGTTGCATCAAAGGCTATAAAACGTCTTAAGGGGAACGGCAGACTCTGGAGACTGTCTTTAACACATTACACAAGCCTTTTTAACAAGTGTCGTGGCTTCCTGCCCTCTCTTATCGCCTCAGGTGAAGATCCAGTGTGCCCAAGATCACAAGACCGGCAGCTTCGTATGTGCCATAGCTCAAAGTTAGAAGACGTTCCCCTGCCATCTACTTGTTCTGGTCATACATTAAAATGTAGGAGGGCATAGCTTAAGAAACATTGATTTTTAGGGCAGTTGTTTAGGTAAGAAGGGTCAGAGGTGGGAGTGGGAAGGGACGGGGGAAGTTAAGTTATTCACCAAAACAGGAAAAAGAATCCGGTCTTGCCTTAGGAGGAAGCTGATTAGGAATTCAGAAGAAGTCATCTGTCCCAGAAATACACATTGGAAAAGTCTACCAGGTCTCCTTTGTGCTTCCTCTCCACCTTGCACACTCCATGTCAGATTGTGCAGCATCGCTGACTGCCACGTGCCCAGCTCTTCATGAAAAAATGAAGGAGAGCTCAATGCCCAATATTCCCGAATTCTCAAGACAATAAACTTTCTTACAGTGTCATTGAGAGTTCATTCCTGTCAGTGAGGGAGAGACAGAACTTCGGGTGGGCCAAGGAAGGGCAGCATAATCAAGGTCTGGCTGCTGGTGTAAGACACGAGCATGGAGATGTCACAGAGCATGGAGACAAGCCATTTGGTAGCTGCTGTGCTCCCCCAGTCTCAGCCAGTTCCTCCCTCCCCAACAGCCAGTAGATGCTCCTGTGTGGGGAGCCAACCTTAGGCCTGTAAGGAAGGTCAATTACATATTCCATCAAAGCCATTCCAAGAGCCTTATCAGATGTTTGAAGGCATTTTTTTTTTGTAGCTGCCTTCTTTCCTCAGCCATTCTGTCTGCTTGAGTTACTTCTGTCTTACCTCCTTCTCCCCCACTCCCCTGCTTTGACTGATTAAGGCCAGAAATTTTTTCATTAAGTCACTTTATAGTGCAATAACAACATTTACTATTCATGAAGTCGCCCCTCCATAATTTTTAAGTCTTTCCATGTGTCTGGAAGCTTATTTCTGCTCTGCTCATTTTACAGTCTCTCTTCCTTCCAAACACAAACTAAAAAGAAAGAGGAAAAGGTGGGGGAAGGCTGGGGTGGAGATAACATCCAGATTTTTTAAGTGTTTTTAATCCAGTTAAATTTCCCTTTGGACTCAAACAGCTCCCTGCTGAAACTGATTGCGGACCTGAATTCCAGACTAAGAATTAAGTCAAGAGGAAAGGATGGCAGAAACAAATAACAGTCAGCTCTATGCTCCGAAAACCGCTATGTTGACTGGGGCTCCATGGTTTTAACCCATTCATTTTTTTCCCCTTTTCTCGAATTCTTACTTAATCTTTTCAGCCAGCTTACAGCAAGCAGGCAAACACCATTTAACTGCCCTGGGCTTCCATGGATTTAAAACAAGTTGGTTCAGTCTCTTGAGCAGATACTTTCTTAATGCGGGTGTAAGACAAAGTTCACATTTTAATGCCATACGTTGTCAGTCACCAGGAAAAAGCTTCTGGGGGCTCATACCAGGTCCCCAGCCTTTGTCACGGGGCAAAAATAAACACCCTTGGAGGAGTTAATGAGGCGGTCAGCAGCCACACTAGAGTCCTACCAGGGCCGCCTGCAGAGCTTTTAAACACACACACACACACACACACACACACACACACACAACACACACACACACACACACACACACACACACACACACACACACACACACACACACACGGGAGGCGCTTGTGAAATGTCACAAGCTGGACATCTGGAGTCCGACCCCAAAGGTAAATGCATTCCATGGGAACATTCCTCGGATGTCAGGCCACACAACCGCTGGTTTCCCCAAGAACACTCTCTCATTTCTAAGATTTCTCCCAACAGTCCCAAGTCTACACCCCAAGGGGGAAACAAGCAAAGGAGGGAAGAAGGTAGCAAAAAAAAAAAAAAAAAAAAAAAAAAAAAGAAAAAAGAAAAAAATGGAGCCAAAAGGAAGGATTTGAAAGCTACTCACAGGCTAGCTAGCGCCTCTGCGAAGCGAGCATGACTTGCCCGCGCCGAGCCTCCAGGCTGCCGCGCAGCCGACACGGCGGCCGCGCTTAAATAGCTGCCGGCCCGGGAGCCTCAGCCCCGCGGCCACTCCCGGCGAGATATGGTTCTAATCAGATGCTGGCAGCTGAGGACTCCCCAGGAATGCGCCGGGATGTTTTTGCTGCCTGGGCTCGGTAACTCCCCCTCAACGTGTCTGCTGAGTCTTCCAAACTTAACTGTTTATTAACTCGAATTGCAGCCACGCAGAGGACCCGGCTGCCCTGGGCTCGCGAGCCCCGCCAGCGGGGGGCGATCGCAGGGAGTCCAGCGAAGGGGAGGAGAAGGAGGAAGGGCGCAGTCAAAACCCCAGACTTGCTGGGGCTGGGGCAGGGGCCACGGGACAGGGGAGGGTGCAAATAAGGACAGGAAAGGGAAACTCTGCAGGGAAGGGGTGGGACCCCGGCCTTCATCTCACAAATTTCTTCCTGGATTGCCACTTGGAGTGATGTGGCACACGAAGTCATCCTAACCCGTTGGGGCTGTTTGAACAAAGGGCTGCCTTTACTCCTGACTTTCCTGGCAAGAGGCAGTGGATCCTAACTCAGATCCGCTGCGGCTACAGTTGAACGTGTGATTGCCTCCTTTAAAGGAATTAGTGTTTTTTTTCACTACAGATATGGGTGCACTTAAATCGGTGGGAAATGTGTGTGTGTGTGTGTGTGTGTGTGTGTGTGTGTGTGTAAAGCGTACTGTATTTATGTGTGAAATAGAACCCTGTATACCCAGATATAAAACCAATAGTCTCTATGAAATCTATATAAACAAAAATGTTCACGTCTATATAACATATCTAAATAAGCTATGTATCGGATATAAACAAAGATTATATACTGGATTCCCTCACAGGGTGTACATCGATTTGTAGACACATAACATGACTTTCTCTGCACTGACTTCCATAGTGTTTCTAATACCTCTGTGAAAACTGAAAAATGAGAAATAAAATATTTGAAAATATTGACATATAGTGCTTAGCAGCAGAAAGCGCTCCGTAGTGTACCGTAGAGAACCTGAATAAGGTAGGAATTCATTTTCTTTACATTTAAAAATCATGAACAACAGTACATCCTCAGAAGCCCTGCTGCTTTTTAAGAATGATGGAATTATTCCTGCGAAGAACATGCCCCCTCCCCTTTCTTTTAAGCTGGAGACAGTGTGTACTACATGTGAAAATGCCAAATTGTGAGTTGGATGGGAAGGGGTTATTGATTTTATTGAGTAAGCAACATACAGTGGATTTGCATTTTACCTCGGGAAACTGGGGGTTCAGATTGGGCTCATGGGACACCAAGGATGTATTTTGTGGTCCAAGCCTAGCCCTGACTGCAAAGCCACTGTGCAATTTGGGGCAGCTCAATGTGAGTGGCAGCCCTTGCTCTCAAGTAGGTCAGGCTTGGAACAGCCAGGGAGCCAAGGGTGTAGAGCAGCCCAGCTCAGTGACAAGGAGAATGCCACCTCTCCCAGACTCTACTATTTCTGCCATCTGTCTCAATCCCTTCACACCTGCAGGGGTGGGGAGGGTGGTGCTGACAGTTTTCAATATTCTTCTGAGGTAATTTGCTATTATTAAAAAGAAAATGACTTCGTGTGAATGACAAGAAGTATATAAACTTTAGTCTTAGGGTAGGTAGTATTTATAACACTTATGCAGAGAACTTTAATTCTTAGAGGAGATAGTGCTTTACTTCTGAGAGCCAGAGTCCAGAGGGATGGTTTCACTTGCAAAGGCTAAGTAGCTGGAGAAATGACAGCTGACTTCAGGCAAATAGAGGCTTAGACAATTCAACAAAACAAACAAAACAAAACAAGTCTTTATTAATCTCCATATGTAATACTTTCTTAACTCAGAAGTGACTACCCAAACCTCATTTTTGAGTAAAAAAAACTCTTACAGAGAAATGTTAACTTATGTTTGCTCTACCCCACCAAATGGAAGGGATTTGTCTAAGAAGCCAGAGGAAGAAAATGATTTCATCTGCAATGAGCTGCAGTTTCAAGAGAAGTCTTTGATGAAAACAGTTCATTTATGAGCAGCAGCCTCACACATACAGCTGAAAACGGACAGCTCTGTCATTTTACACAGAAATCTTAAGAGTCGACAGTGGAGAACACTATTTGAAGTGTATTTTTATATTTCTAAGGCGCTGATTTTGCTTCTGGCAGTAATTCAATGTCCTGCTCATATGAGGGAAAAAAATGACAATCAATTTAACCCTTCTTATTCCTGGTGGAATATAGTCTCCTGTCCCATCGAAGGTGTTCGCTCGTCTGTAGGTCTAAAATGAACATCCAGGCAGCTGGACAGTCACACCCAAACCCACCTAGCTGGTAACCCTGCTTAAACTATGTTTTTTTTCTTATCACAACTGAAGTAAATGTTCAGAAAATTAAGATGAAGAAAATTCAGTGCAATGTTTGAAAAAAAAAAAAAGATCTTTGCATGACTTTTCCTCTTGCACAAAAACTGCCTGCAAGGGAGAAGGAAAAAAATAAAACTGACGACTGCATTCCCAGCCTAGGAAAGGGGTAGTTAATCCCGTGATGGCTTGCTGAAGAATGCATGGTTTATTATTAAAGTAATCTCTTAAGATTTTCCTGGAATGTGCTTCCACAGCAACTCTGCCTGTGCAAGCTATCCTATGTGTGTGTCTTTTCTTCCATAATTAAGCTGGGTTTTTCTCTCTCCAGCTCACAGACCTACTGCTTCCTTTGTCCCCTTCCCTACTGCTCTTGTCTCCCTTAAACATCCCATTTTGAATCCTGCCATGTTCCATGAAACTGTAAATGGCACTTTGGACTTGGCCATAGGTAAACTGTCCACCTTGATGCCTTGTTGGCCACTTCTCGGTGTTCAAATCAAAACAAGGCCTGGTTGAAGTCTGTGGATCTAGCAAGGTCACATCTTTTGTTTTTTCTCCTCAGTGTCATAAAAAAAAAAATGAAGAGAATAGCTATTGTTCCCAGAAAATGTTCTTTGACCTTGACTAGTCCTGCATATTTATAGATGCAGAAAAACTGGCCCTATCAGATTTGGCTGTTGGCAAGGCAGGATAAATATTGGAGGCTTTTTCCTATCTATCTATCTACCTTCCTAACCACCTATCATCTACACTATTAGGAGTGTAGCCTCATTGCAAGTAGCCTGTTTTTGTTTTGTTTTGTAGGTTGCTTTTGTTTGTTTTCTTGATTATACCTGTATAACACCTCAGAACTCAATACTTACAATTTGCTTGTGATATGCAATATTAGTAAAACTCAAATGGTACTTGAAAAGTTGGATGTTGTAAAGAACATTTAAAAATTCAATATGATAAATTTACATAACCAGACACATTGTACTACCAACATAAATTTTTATAATGAGAAGTTTTAATGATGAAAGAGTGCTCATATGAATTAATGGGTAAAATTTTATTTGAAAAGCATTATTAAAAATAAAAATGCATATACCATAATCTGCAAAATACTAATACTAATTATTATTGAAGCAAACACTTATGTAGTTCTCTATCCTATGTATAAGAGTTTATCCTCTAGAAATAAACATATACATAAAATACATAAGATGTTAATTGCTGCATTGTCCGAAGTAGCAGGAACCTGGGAAAAAATAATGTTTGTCAATAGGAGAATGATGAATGTTATAATTCATGTATACCATGGAATCAAATGCAATCATTTTAAAAGAATAAATTGGAGTTAAACCTTATAATGTGAAAAGACTTTAATTAGGTATTGTTGAGTGAGAAAAGCAAGATACAGAAAAAAAAGTAAAATGTGCTTCTATTTTAGTAATACAAAACGCAATACGTATCCATATAGGTTTGAGTATGTGTTTATGTATGTGTGTGTATGCATGATTATAAGGGAGACTAGAGACTGCATTGCAACATAGATTACTGGGGACCTGATGGAGATCAGAGCAAATAAGGGAGAGAGAGGGGGTAACAGCTGTACAAAAAGGGAAAAGAAAGTAAAACAGCCTATATGCAGATATAAAGATAGATCACATTTATATATCTAAGTGAAATGATATATACACAGGTTTGCATCATTTTTTTAAATGCACCAAATGATTTTAAGATAAGGAAAGCGGAGAGTTGTAAAAGAAATCCCACAAAATAGCTTTCATTGAGGTGTTTTTCTCAAAGTCTTTCAAAAGTGACTAGTCGTCAATGTTCTCATGAACGAATTCAGCTTCTAGGGCTGCAGTTCTCAAACTTGAATCTTCACAACGGAAATCCTGGGAGCTTGGCACAAGGATAAATTTGGGGGCCCAGCCGCAGAGACCCAGACTAGAAAGGTGTGTTGGTGGGTTTTGGAGCCGGGGGAGGGAGTGAAGGGCCTGGGAACCTGTGCATTTAACCAGCACTCCTGGGGGAGGCAGATGCTATAGTCCTGGGGACCACACTTTAAGAAACACTGTTTCTCTTGAGGTTGAGAGGACACTCATTTTGTTCTTCTCTGAGAGATGAGAACTGTGGAGAGGGAGAATCACAGTTCAAGAGGGAGGAGGCAGGTGCCACTGGCTTTTCGACACTGGCCTTTCTCTCTCCCTTTGGATTTTCTGCAGCCTCAGTGTCCTGGCTCTGGTGGTAACTTCTCTCCCTGTCCCCTCCACTGTTAAGACTTGTTTTCAGAGAAAGATCTGATATCAGCCATTTACATTGACCTATACCCAGATATTTGCATTTCCCATATTGTCCCTTACTGTGGAATGAAAGGCATTGCTCATTGTTAAAGGGATCTCTGGCATCGGTAAGAACAGGCAGAGATTGCTTTTCTGATTTTTGAGCAAGTGGAGGCAATTGTCAACTCCACCCTGCACCCGGCCTAAGGATGCCTAGATAGAGATAAGATTATAGGACTTCCAACTCCTGGGATGCTACTATCCCTGAAGTTGCACTACATATTGGCTTCAAAGGGGCCATTTGAAAATTAAAACTGTATATCATGTACATGATTGCATTTATGATATAGCAAAGAAAAGTGGGATTTAGTATTAGATCCAGGTTAAAGTCCTGGCTCCACTCTTACTAACTGCAAGATTTAGTGCAAGCCACCTAACTTCTCAAGGACTCAATTTCCTTATCTCTAAAATGGGCAGTCCCTGTCTTCCCTTCCCATTTAGACTTTTGTTAGGAAGCAAAGAAAGCCATATTCATAAGAGGACTTTGGAAAGTTTGAGACTATATACGTACTATAAATTAGGTAAAAATTATGCAAAAACTTCATTATGACTAGAAAGATGTCCCAAAATATTTCCACCACCAATCTCAGAAACACCATCATTAGTAAATTGTGTGTTTAGAAAACTATGCTGCTCTGTCTGGAATGAACTTTCCTTAGGCTGAGCCCTTATGT